CCCCCAAAACGCACATGCGCGCGCACACACATTTTTTATGTGTATGTTTAATGTGTGTATGCTGATGTGCGCGTTTTTGCATCCACTACCCATTGCAGCTTTGACAAGGACGGCAGTGGCTATATCACGGAGCAGGAGCTGGTGGAGGCACTGCGGGAGCACCATATGCCAGAGCAGCAGCTGCAGGAGCTGCTGGCAGATGTGGACAGGGATGGGGACGACAAGATTGACTACGACGAGGTGAGGGGTGGGGTGCTGTGGCCGGGTGTTGCCAGCTTGACACCCGTTGAAGCTCCATGTGGTGGTGAGGATGCAGGACAATGTGCAAAATCTGCACAGCAAATCATGAGTATAAAAAATCATTGCTTACCCTGACGGTGTACTTGCAACCCATGAATGCTGCTAAAACATTTGAGCAGTTTTGCCGCATGCTGCTGCCGGAGATGGCGGGACCTGGCGAGCACCACGGTCGACAGTCGTTGCAGCAGCAGCGAGAGCATTCTGGAGCAGGCGGGAGTGAGTCTCCTCGCCACCTGGTGATGACGGCTAGGAGTGGAGGTTGGGCAGCCTCAGGTGCGGCGCACATGATGCTGCCTGAGCCGATTGAGGAGGAGTGACAGCCTGATGTGCTGCACGACGGGGACGTCTGCACCATCCGGGAGGAGAATGCTGCGCCATTCTTAAACCCTTGCTTGCATCATCATAAGGATGGCAGACGAGGCACTGCGGCGGCTGCTGGGGGATGGTTTGGACACTGCCACTTCCATATTCTTGTGATGACGGGTGATAGCACCCAACAACACGGAGGGGAGGGCTGGTCATTTGCTCGGCCGTCACAGGCACGTTTGTGTATGCATCTACGCAGTTGGAGCAATGCTGGATGTTCTGCCAGCTTGGATCTGCGCAATGTACGTATGTAAAATTTTACGGTGCACAATCCTTGCACTTCAAGTTCTCCCATGATTTGACAACACACCACACAGCCTTCTTTGCTGCTGCAACTCTGGAGCACATATGCTGCAAGTGACGCATGCTGCTAGCATTGTCCCGACCAACATGCCAATGAACGTTGCGGCACTTGATTGTCAGAGAGATGAGCTGACAGACTCGTCGTTTGCCATTGGCTGTGAGTGCTGCTACTACCATAGTCGTCACGGCAGGCAGGTGAGTTGACAGCACAAAGCAAGCGCCGCTTGCCAAGCGGTCTCACGGTCTCTTCCTGTATGCCAGAAAGCAAGGAATCCCTTGTGCAGTGTCAATGTACGTCCAATCCACGATGTGAGGTTGTTATCCCCTTGGCCCCAGCCTGCTGTGGATGCGCGTGCACAGCTCGATGTTGTTGCCAGTTGAGACTTTGGTTCGTCGGGCAGACGCTTGGGGCATGACTCACCGACTTTCCCCTAGGGGGGCTCTTCTGGCCTCCGGGAATCGATTCTCGCGGAATGCCCCGCGACCTGAGCCAAGCGATGCGGCATACGATTCTATGATTTTTAGGTACCTCGTAAAATCGCCAGAAAAATCCTGGGCCGAGCGCGGGGCCGCGCGGACGGTGCAGCCATGGCGACCCCGCGAAAACACGACTGTATGACCTCTGCGTCTGGTGCAACATATTTAACATGAATTCAAAATTCTTTAAGAAGATCGTGAAGGCGCTGCGCCGTCTCTGGCGTGGGCGGAGCTCAGCGCGGCCAGCAAGCCAGAGGAGTACTGCGCGCAGGACCAAGCCTGGGGGTTCAATGAAATAATTGATCGTATATATGCCCGATGCGACGCTGCCAGCGGCATGCGGCGAGGAATCAGGCCCGGGTGCACCAGGAATCAGGCCCGGGTGCGGGGTGCGCTGGGCAGTGCTGCCCGCTGCAGGGGTCGTCCAACTGTCATGTCGAAGCTCGCCGGACGACCTGAAATGATTATGCGGTCACCCTGCACCCTACTGCCACACACACATTAGCAGCCTGCACACAGTGGTGGTGACAAGCAAACGGCACGTTGAACTGGTTTTTCCCGGGCCCCCAGCGCACGGCTTGATTCAAGGCACGTTTGCCTGATAGATAAG